CCATAGGATGAGAACTTAATGTGGTTCACTTGGCCCTGTGTACTAAAAGGTGACCCATCCTGAAGGGAAAGGTGAGCTAAAAGTTTTCAACCAGAAACTACAGCAAAGAGCCAGTTTCAAAATGAAAATACAGTAACTATGGCAAGCAGAATGATGGAGGTAGACAAGGTGGCAGGTGTGAAGTTGGAATCCAGCAAGGAGACAGATTAGAAGAGAAAGGGTTACTGCTGTAGAGACCTCCCGGCAGTCCCGACCGCCAGCCTTTGTTGTGGAGTCCTGGAGGGGGGAGGACCAGAAAAGTTTACAAAATGGTAGCTGGAACCTTCCAGAATGTGGTATAAGGCTGTCAGCTTCCTCCAGTGCAGACTGGCCAGGTGTAGAGTTGCATGAGCGTGGAGCCACACCTTGTTAGCCTCCGATCTGACGTACTTTCTGGTGAGGTTAGGGGAGGCTGAGGAATGGGTGACTGTAATAGAGCCTAAAGGGGTGAGTGGCAGCTATCTTCAGCCTTTTGGGGGGACAGCGGGGTGCGTTCCGTGACTCTCATCCCACACGGGCACTGACCTGGGTCTTCTGCCCCATGACCTTGTCAGCTTACACACTGTCTTGAGAGGGCTTTCAGCCAGTGACAAGGCTAGGAGATCCTGCACTTGAGCAGGTCTCAGGCTTCCAAATCGGTACTCCAGGAAAAAGATTCGTGTTGGAAAGTTCTTTTTCTCACAGTTTTGGTTGTGTTTTAGGAAACAGACTTATTATTGTGCTAAGACTTTATATTTAGATGATTAGCAACACTACCATTAAATAAAAACAAACTGAGACTGCCAAAGTACCTGAAAGTGTCATTTTGATGTAACAATAATGAGTAGAGATGCGTATGTTGTCATTCATTTCCCTACTCCCTTGCTCTGTAATCGATATATTTGATCAGCTGTTTTAAGAAGGCCAACCTGCAAACGAAAGAGCAGGCATCTCTGCTCTTTCTGTGAGGAGGGAACTCTAATCAAGAGCACATCGTCCCCTGGGAGCTGGACCTGTGTCCTTGAGGACCTGTAATCCACTGGCAGCTGGATGGCACTGAGCTGCCACCTGAGGACTTGTTAGGGAACCCAAGAAGGGATGATGAGTGCCAGCTAGTGAGAACTGAAGTTAAACAGTTTCATGGTGGTTTGTGAGAATCGTCTCTCAATACCTGTGTGTGTTAGAGCTGGTGTGTGTGTGATGAATTCAGCTTCAAACACCTGCTAGGGTATCAGCATCTTTACGGAAATAGTAAAAGGATAAAGCCTGTCCAAGAAAGTAAAGAGCCAGATCCCTACCTACGACTATGTACTATTTACTTGTGTGAAGGTTAGGTTCAAAGTCAATGTTCATATTCAGGTGATATTTGTTACTACAGCAGTAAACTTCCTTCTGTGTCAGCTGTTGCCTTTGCTGCAGGTATGATCAGATCTTACAGAATTGTCCAGGTTAACTAAAATCGTTGAGTATGAGTTGTTTTTGTAAACTGTATTATCCAGGTAGGAGAAGTTGTTTGGCCACTTTGAGTGTTGGGGATGGTAAAACTCTCCTCTTAAATCAAGTATGTACACTCAGCTTTGGTTTTTCTTTATTAAGTGAATGTCTAGTGAGAACTCTCCCTTTCTCTTTGGCCTTTAGTATTCATTTCCTACAAGAAAGGGAATTGTCCTGTTTCATAAAAGGTGTGTTACCATCTCGCTTTGAGTATTTTTCTCCATGAGTTAAGAGCGTGTGATTTGCATGAGTCCTTTTCAGAACGAGTGTGCTGCCCACAGCCAGCATCTGCGCGTAAAGGCAGTTTCTGAATGCCTCGAGTTTGCTTGCCAAGTTGGGCTCTTTTCACTTGTCACTACAGTTCCTCTCTGGCCTTCAGAGTTTTCTGTTCATAAAAATAGCTTCTTAGTTAAAACATCATTCTACTTGAAAATACATTTCAATCACTAGTGGTTTTCTGTGCTGCCTAACACGTACCACAAGTTGAACGGTGCAGAAGGACCTTTGCTCTCCATGTTTCCTATTGGCAGGGTCAGGAATTGAGTACCAGCATCTCAGGAGTGCTCTGTGTTTGCTGGCGTTCCCAGCAAACCTTGCTCCTTCCAGGAGCTGGGCCATCCTCCCCGCTCACCTGTATTGGTGGGGTGACTTCCTGCAGCTGTAGAACCAGGAAGGCTCCTCACCTGACAGGACTGCCGCCAGCCTTTGGCCAGGCCACTAGCCTGGTCCAGCGTGGCACGGGGCATCTCAGAGCAACTGCACAGGCCGGGGCACAACCCCTCAGGACCAGACCAGTGCCAGGAGTGATGGGTAGGTGCCCCGCTCCCGACACACCTGCCTTGGAGTATTTGTAAGTGCTCAGGGCTCCCGGCTGTCCTCCCAGGGCCTGCCAGGAGAGACGTCCACACGAGTCATTCCCATCAAAGCAGATCAAGCAGTGTAAGATGTGCAGATAGAAAACCTACCCTGTCAAGGACAAGGAGGAATTGTGTGTGTGGGGTCACATCGGGGCTGGAATCCGGTAGCTACAGTTCAGGCAGTCTTAAAAATATTTAAAGGTTTTACAAGGTGACATCTTTGTCGCTTAACTGTGGTGGGCCTATTAGTGGCGTGTGTTAGAAACTGTGACTCATGAGCAAGGTGAGGAGCTGCCATAGGAGAGGACTGAGCACAGATGCAGGCAGGAAGGAGGGGCCAGAGCTCACGCAGGCAGCGTCTGGCCCTAAAAGCTTCTACACATTTGTCCCTTGCTGGTCTCAGCCTGTGTCCTCAAATGTGCTGCGTCCCTCCACACAAGCTAGAGAGACAGAGAAAGCAATGCTGAGCTCTGCCAGATGCTGCCCAGCCCTGGGTGGGCCTCCTCACCACCTCACATTCTAGTTCTCTCTCCCCACCTCTTTGTCTTCCCGTTCCTTCCTTCTTCCTTGTGCCCTCTCAGTTGGCTTTCCTTACTCTCTCGGGTGAAAAGCTCTATTGATATTTATTAGTTCTCAAAGATCCTCCTCCTAGAAACTTGTTGATACAGCTGTGTTCTATGTGTCGATAAGATAGACAACATTTGATGTTATCTATACTTGGCCTTTGGTAGAGATTTCAAGAATTGATTCAGTATATATTGAATTTTGCTTTTTTTCTATATGCTTGACTTTTAAGTTTTTAACAAAAAAAATTGTTAGCATCTTTTCACTCGCATAGTTCATTATAGGATGTGAGGGCGATCTGGCTGCAACATCACTGGTCACTAGGGTTGATCTGGCCATCTAGGCGTCCCCTTCCCCCCCACCGCTCCACAAGCGTCCCTCCCAAAGCTGCGCGCTTGGTCAAAGAGGAAAACCATCCCTGATAGAGGAGGACAGGTCTTCAGTCAGGGGTATACGAGTAACTGCGCTCCCCTGCCAGAAACTCCAAACAAGCCCTGAAATGGTTCATTATAGATGACTGTTACCTTTTTGTAAAAGGAAGCCTTTTGAAAGGTAGATGTCATTCCCTGACAGAAACTTCTCTGTGCGTCAAGTGTAAGGGGGAGAGTAGAAGTAAGAAAGGTGGAGGTAAGTTCACATTCAGGGTGCCTTCAGTTTGGGGTTGACTGTACAAGGTGTGTCTCTGAGTCAGCCAGCTAGCAGAATAGTGCCCGCAGGGCCAGCTGCATGCACAGGTGCTGGCCAAGGCATTTGAGACCCTTTTGGGGTCAGGATCTGGGAGCAGGCAGCCACACCGAGGGTCCCTCAAGACCCCTGGGTGGCTATATCCATTCCTCCTATCTCAGGGACCCTGTGGCTGTCTGAGCCCCACAGAGCTTAGAGCAGAGCTGCACGGGGGGAGGCGGGCCCTGAAGGGGGTCCACCAAGACCCTTGATGGACACCACTAGTGCGGGAGGACCAGCACACTGGTCACCACTCCCCCCTCCTCCTCAGCCCGTCTCTGCAGCACAGGACAGGAGCAGAGAGCTTTAGGTCAGGGACCAGAGTGATGAGTCCAGGCCCTGATCCTGTTCTTGCTTCTTCTGCACAGGGCTGACCGCCTCCTGCATGGGTGTGGAGGTACAGGTGGCCCTCCAGCAGTGCTGGGCCAGAGTAAGGGTCCATGAATACCAGCTTCCTGGTGACCTGTGTCCTGCACCTGCCCACCACCTCATCCTCTGTCCTTGCGGTTAGAAGTGCCAGGCAGAGCTGGGTACCAGTGACTTATGCCTGTAATCCTAGCTACTTGGGAGGCAGAGATCAGAGGATCAGAGTTGAGGCCAACCCAGGTAAAGATGCACAAGACCTCATCTCGGCCAACAGCCCAGCACAGTGGTACACATCCGTTATACCAGCTACATGGAAAGCATAACTAAGGAATTACAGTCTAGGTTGGATGTGTAGCTCCAGAAGTAGAGTGCCTGCTAAGCAAATGGGCAGCCAAGTTCAAACTCCAGGAAAAACACATAGTTAGACAGGCCCACTACCCCCACCCCACCCCTCCCCCCACACACACACAGACACACAGACACACAACTTAGTGTGGAGGCATCACCTTGTGATGTGTCCCAGACCCGATGTAACTTGGAGAGAAAGCATGTGGACAGCGTCAGGTGGTCAGCCACTAACGTAGCTGCATCTCGGGCTCCGGGACGTGTCCTGCTTCCTACGGGAAGCCACAGGTCTCCACAGGGCTCACTGCTGTTCACATAAAATTAACCAGCACAGCACACTGGAACTGAAGCCTGTGAGCAGGAAGCCGCTGTCCCTCCCCCGAGGTCTCCTCTCTGCACCCAGCAAGGGTCTCTGCACGTCCATATTATCCTCTCTTTGCACTTAGAGCTGGCTTAGTTTCAGCCCGCTTTCTGCTTCTCAAGTAGAAAGCAGAAGCAAATATCTGGCCCCTGAAGCATAGTGCTGAGAGCTCCCCTTATCTGAGAACAGCCAAGCGCTGCCTTCCTAGGGAGTGGCAGGTCACACAGCTCCTGCAGAAGGCCACAAGCCACTGACTTTCTGCCATTTGTCAGGTTGATGACATCCTGGGCGAGGGCAGCGATGACAGCGACAGTGAGAAGAAGCAGCTGGACGAGCAGGACAAGGCACCTCGGCCCAGAAAGCCCCAGGCCTCCGGGGCCCAGCAGGAGCAGCCTCCGGGGTTGCCTTCATCCCGGGAGAAGAGCACCACTGGCGTCCGGGGGCCCAGGTGAGGGAGGCCGCCGAAGCAGCCCAGGGTCTGGGGATGGGTTGCTCAAGGCGCCTGGCCTGCGTCCTGCCCGGCGGGTGGCGGGAGAGGAGATAAGGGGATGGGGACCGGAGCGTCGGTGGTGGCACTGCCACCGTGGACGTGCACCAGGATAATCATATTCATAGGAGGAGAGGGCTGCAGGAGAAACCTGTCTGGCCTCTCCACTGCCCTCGGGCACTCAAGGCATCGTATTCATGTTGGTTTCGGTGTCACACAGTCATTGTCTGTGTGGATGGAAATGACAGTACTGGCGTGGGCGGTGTTCCAGGGTTTCTCCGAGGGCGGCTGATAGCACAGGTGCCCTCAACATGCGTTTCCTGGGTCTGCCTGTGCTGCGGCCACTGCCACAGACGTGTGTCGTCGCTGGTGTCATGGGAGCGTCTGTGCCTTACCCTCTCACCTGCTCGAGTGTTGGCCCGGTCAGCTCGTATTCTGAATAACACACAGTGTCTCTGTGTGTCTGGCAGCTGCCGCCTTCGCCAGCCCTCTTAGTGGCTGGCCAGTCTTTCTAACGTGGCAGCATCCGCGCATTTCTGGTGTGCTGCTCCTCCAGTTTGTCATTGTTCCATTCCACTGACACTCTGCTATGCAGAGGTTTGGTCACTTGTGTAGTGACAGCTGTGGCTGTTGTGTATTCCCAGCCTGGGGATGATCCATGTTTCCTTTAGCTTTTTTATGTATAAATCTTGCGTAAACTAAGATGTACTTTAGTAAAATAAGACAAGGACCTAACTCTTAAATGCCAACTAATAATCCTTTGGCAATTTATTAGCGTTTGCCCCTGATCTGAAGTGCAATGAAATGTGTACGTAGGGCTCTCCTGCACTTCTGCTGTTTTCTCTTGATTTCTGTAGCGCTGCTCTTAAATGTTGTGTGTGTGGCATATACTCCAAATAAGCTCCTGCTCTGAAATGTTTATGTCATGTGGCCGAACGTGCATAAACTCCAACGGGGCTAAAAGGAAAGATCCCACGCCCCGTCCTCTGTCACACACACAGCCTTGCCACTCCTCCCCTAGAGGAAGCCAGGTCCGTTTCTCACATGAGAACCCCAGGATGCATGTCTGCAGCCCACATTTGGCTATGCTTGCATTCTTGCTGTGGAAGAAAGACACTAAAGTTAACTCTCTTCTTTCCTCAATCCTGCCAATGCAGTCATATTGGTGTTTGGATTATAGAATTATCAGCATTTATTTGACAGTGATTGTTCAGTGAATCTAGTAAGGCCACTGTGATTATGTTTGCTGTTTTCAATGTCTCATCTTGTATTTGCTTGGAATTCTTCCTGCCTGACCCCACCCCCCACCCCATCACTGTACTCATCTGGCTTTGTGCCACCACTTCCCAAGTCTGGCCCCTCTCTGCCCTGGGAATAGCTTCTCCTGTTTTTCTGATGTTTCCTCTGTTGGCCTCATTTTTCTGCAAGTCTTCTAAGAAAGTATGGAGACTGTGCACGCGCAGTGGCTTATGTCTGTAATCTCAGCTACTCAGGAGGTAGACATCCAGACATCTCGCTTTGAGGCCAGCCAGACAAAAAGCTACTGAGACCCTAACAAGTTGTCATCCCAGTTATATTTACCATCCAAGATCTGCGACAGACTAAAACAGGAGACCCACCAGGAAAAAATAAAACCAAAGCTTTCGGCTGGGGTAGAGCTCATGTAGTAGAGCGCTTGCCTAGTAAGCACAGGCCCTGGGTTGAGCCTTCGTTCTCCGGCCATATCGGATGGGCACCACTGAAGGACAGGAGCCTCTACTCACTCCTGAGCGTGCGGCTCCTGGTCAGTTGCAGTGGTACTGATCATACCACCTCATATTTGTGTCTTGTATCCATAAAACCCCAGATACCTCATCCAAGAAAGTTTAATCTCAGCTCAGCCTGGTGGGACTTCAGTTTACAGAGGAGTGTATGCATGTCCTGAGTGCCTGATGTAGGCGTGGTTTCCAGTGCCTTCTCTTACCCGTGCATGCCAAGGGCCTTTCATGCACTCTGGTGCTGCCCTGATGTCCACCTCTGACAGCCACGTCCGCAATCACCGGAGCCTCAGGCCCAGGTGAAGTGCAGGAAGGTGCCCATTGTGAAGCACTCAGATCAGCTGGGTTCACTCCCGGCCTGGCTCTTGGACTGTTGTACTAGTAAAGAACAGTCCAGAAAGTGCATGGCTGATTCACACAGTCCCATTTCACCAGCAGCAGCAAAGGGTGATAGTGCTCCATCTGTGGAGATGACTCTAGGCTTAGTGGGAGCCTGGGTTCCCATCTCGGAGCCCATCAGCTCAGCGCTCACCAGTAAGGACAACTTGCCAGCCTTGTTGAGAGGCTGCTGCGTTGTGTTAGGAGAGTGTTTGTTTTTGGGGTGTGTGTGTGTGTGTGTGTGTGTGTGTCGTTCATGGGGCTTGAACTCTGGGCCTGGGCGCTGTCCCTGCGTTCTTCAGCTCAAGGTGAACACTCTTACCACCTGAGCCACAGTGCCACTTCCGGTTTTCGAGTGGTTTATTGGAGATAAGAGTCTCACAGACTTTCCTGCCTAGGCTGGCTTTGAACCGTGATCCTCCGATCTCAGCCTCCTCAGTAGTAGCTAGGATGACAGGCGTGAGCCATCGGCGCCCATCTAGGAGAGATTTTTTTTTTAACTGCTGTGTTGGGCCATCATGAGACTTGTCCTTCCCACATGGGTGGTTATATGCTGTTTGCTGGGTTGTGTCTTCATCTTTGGGCAGAATGTTGAGGTCCAGGGAAGTTTGGAGAGGGGGCAGAGGAGTGTGCAGCCCCTTGCGGACCTACAGGGTAGAGAGAGTTGTGAGTGCTGCAGGGGTCTACATGCTGCTAGCACACCATGTGCCGTGATGGCTGTGGCATGTCCTAGCTATCCGTCTAAAAAGAAGGGAGCTCCACAGGGTCCCGTGGGGATGCTGCTGGCAGACACCTCTTCCTTGGTGGCGGCTGCCTCTCCCAGCTGTGTGAAGCAGTGTGACCCAGCCCAAGAGCCACGGGCTGCTTTTGAATTGAGTAGCCCATGTCCCTGCTGCCTGGTTATATTAAATTACTTTCCGTGGCTAAGTGAAATTCATAGATACACAAGGTAACAATTAGAAAAGAGCCTTGGCTTTCGGGCTGGAGGGGACAGCTGTGACGTGTCCTGAGGGAGCAGCAGGCTGGTGAGGTTCTGGTCCCAGCACGGCTGTTGCTCACTGGGCTCACCGAGCAAATCACCAACTGCTCTGCATCTGCTCTGCATCTCCATTTCAGCACCGCGTGGTGAGAGCAAGTCAGCCTCCAGCCTAGAAGTTGTCCAAGTTGTCGTGAGTGCTCTCAGCACATCCACCCGGTATGGCCAGAAGAGCTCGGGTACAGCTGGCCTGGGCCGTGGAATCGGACACAGGCATCGTGGGGCATTGAAGATCAAGCGATTTGCAGTGACCAGGCCTGTCAGTTTGCTGGCTCCTCCACAAGGAGAGGCTGCTGCTGTCAGTGCTACTTGACTTTGTTGTGTGCAATTAGCTCTGATGACTTTGTAACTTGAGAGCAGAAGAGCAAAGCACTCCCCAGGCTGTGGTAGACCCTGATTGTTCCCTCCTGAAGCTTGTCCCTCACTCCCTAGACCGGAGCCATCCATGGCAGTGCTCACAGAGAAGCCACAGGCCCACTGGCTCCCGTGCCAGCGTTCATGTGCCGCACTAGAACGTTTCCACATCCAGCAGGATGAGCTCAGCCGCCGCGCCCCCACCCAGGCTGCAGGTGGGCGCAGGTGGGCATGCTCATGATGTGCATAGCCTGTCAGCCGTGGACTTCCTGCTTCTCTGATGAGAAAGCTAGAGAATGTGGTCTGCTGGTTTAATTTTTTATTCCATTTATAGATAATAGGACTACAAGATTTTTCTTAAATGTCTCAAGTAATGCTCTTATTTGGAAGTAAGAAAAATACATTTTGAGGTTTTTGTTTGAACACACAGAACATTTAGGTTTCTTAATCCTTCTCTCCCTGTGCATGGCATGCATCCTGACAAAGTTTGATCTTTGATGCAGTACTCTGGTTGGCGGTAGACCCAGCCTGCTAGGTCACCCTAGCCAGCACCTCTGCAGAACCGTTGTACTACTTGAAGATGAAAATGGCTCCAGCAGGAAGAGGGGGGGGAGTACACTCGTCCTCGTCTACCCAGAAGTGATTGAGCCATCTCTCGGATTAGCAAACTACAGCACATAGCCTCTTCACTTCCTTCGATGAAATGCAAGGCCTTTCATACTTTAAAAATGTATGTCTCAGAAGCTCCACATACTACAAATCGGTTGAACACAGAGAAATATTGTAAAAAAAAAAAAAAATACTGAAAATCAAAGGTAAGAAGAGAGTCTGGAGGCAGCAGGAGCACAGGAAGAAGCCTTCTAGGAAGCAGAAGCCCAAGGTTGGGCCCTCCACCAGGTTTCCCATATCCATTTCCTCTCAGAATACACCAAGGCTCTCTTCCCAGTACTGTGAACGCTGTCAGAAGGAGCGCGGCAGCCCAGTGATAGACACTGAGCCCAGAAGATGAGAGCCCCATCCTGGAGCCTGTCCTCGGGGGCTCCCCTCCTGTTCTCTCTCTCCTAAAGTGCCTGCACATCGCTACCGCTGGCCATGATGGGCAGAAATGGGGTGCTTGCCAGTAGTAGCACGGAAGAGGCAGGTAGGAATAAAACTGTTGGGTAAGGAATTGGCAGCAAGGCAGCACAGAGCCCACAGAAAGAGATGCCAGAGAGGCAGATAGAAATGTGTGTCAAAGACACAAATCGTGTAAAGTACTAACAGCTTTATAACCAGTGGGAGGGTCTGGAGCGGTGCAGAAATAAGGCAGGTATGAATTTTGAGTAGTAAGAGTCAGGACTTCAAAAATATTCAGTAAAGAAACTCCTAAGGAGTTAAAGTGTTACATTAGAAAACACTCACTTAATGCCCAAGACAGCTGGGAAAGAGGACAGAGAAGCATAGAAAGCAGACACGGATGAAAAGTGGGGCCTAAGTTTTCAGACGGTGAGTGCATCAGGTCACTGTCCCAAGGGCAGGGAGTCAGGTGGACTGGGCCACCCGACTGCATCACACAGACTGGAGGACAGTGGTCAGTGACAGCCGCTTGTTCTCTGAGGAAGCAGCCTGTGGGGCTCAGGGATCACAGGAGGTGCAGAGAGACCTTCCACCATGACTTAGGGAGGGGAGGTGGACCGTGCGTGGAGGGAGAAGTAGACCGTGGGGCAGTGACACCAGAGCTGTTAGTACCCAGTTTCAAAAATGGGGGACACAGTGGGCCAGCCAGTCCCAACAGGACTTTGCAGATACCACTGAGAAGTGGGCATCCTGAACTAGATGTCCCCGAGAGTGTTGGGAACCCTAGCAGCCGTGGCGACCAGGGGACGCACACTATCCTGCTTGGAAGCGGGGGGGGGGGGAGTGGTGGGAGGGCATGGCCGCCATCAATGTGATGTTGACTGCTAGGGTTAGTCCCTGGAGAGGAATCGGGATCTGTGCTGAGCCCCCCATGAAGGGCTTCAGTGGCACTGGTTAGAACTCCCCAGGAGAGCCTGGCACCGGTGGCTCACGCCTGTCATCCTAGCTACTCAGGAGGCTGAGATCTGAGGATTAAGGTTCAAAGCCAGCCCAGGCAGGAAAGTCTGTGGGACTCTTATCTCTAGTAAACCGCTCAGAAAACCAGAAGTGGTGCTGTGGCTCAAGTGGTAGAGCGCTTGCCTTGAGCTGAAGAGCTGAGGGACAGCACCCAGGCCCAGAGTTCAAGACCCACAACCAACAAAAAAACCTGGCCCAGGACTTGCTGTGTGAAAGTCTGCAGGCTTTTCAGACACCGTCAGGACAGACGCATCAGCCGTGTCACAGAATGCATAGGGTGGCTTTCCTGGCTCTCAAGATGTGGAAGTTCTGGTTCTGTAGCCTGTTCAGGTCCTGCCACTGTAGCAGATTTAAGAGAATGGGGTACACGTGTTCTTCCCTGCATGGCTCACATAGCGCCGCTTATTAAAAATGCATTCTGGAGTCTGGTGTGTCCTGCATCCAGGTCATCACCAGCTAGCTGCTCTGTAGCTTCTGGGGCCTTTGCTTCTTTGTAGGACAGAGTCCTGCAGACAGAGGTGTTCACCGTCAGCAGACAACTGCTAGACCTCACTCCAAAGGTCACCCGGCTTGGAGTGCCTGCCCCGCACCCAGCACTGGCAGGGGTGGTGATGCCTGCTGAGGAGCCCGCTCTGCGTGCCCTCTGCCCTTTCCTGTTTACTCTCTGTCTGGGATTCCACTTGCTTTGTTCTGCTTAAGTGTGTTTCTCTGAGTTGTATGTGCCATCTGTCTGGGAATTCTAGTGTCTGCAACTTTGTGGTCTGTTTTGCCAAACAAATACTTATTTTTCAAAAGCCAAATACATCTTTTAGGGCAATTTCTTCTTTTGTTTCAAGATGCAGATTTCTTTAAGTCATAGGTGTTTATGTGTGTATTTGAATCACAGGTGTCTTTGTGTATATTTGACTCACAGGTGTTTGTATATTTGAATCATAGGTGTTTATGTGTATATTTCTGCATAGTTTCCCAGTTTTCTTTCCTACAAATAATTCTACAGCAGTCAAATGTCCAAATATGGAAATTCACTCAGATTACCAGCTGGTCACCTGTGTCTCACACTTGTCATCCTAGCTATTCAAGAAGCTGAAATTGAAGATTGTGGTTTAAAACCAGCCTAAGCAACACAGAAACAGGGGAAAACATACAACAGCGGGACCCATCAGCTGCACTGGTCATTGATCAAAACAAACTCAGTAACTCAATGACAGCGATGGGAGGGAGGGAACAAGCGGGAGAGAGGGAAGAGCTGACACGAAGCAAAAGGAAAGAAATGTACGTACCACCTGAGGTGCAAGAAAAAACTGTACTGTCAAAGCTCGTAGAACTCAGAAACTTTATAGACCATGATAAAGACAATTTGCCCCATGAGGGTGAGAATGTGTGTGTGACTTTAACTAAGTAGCACTATCTCACAATACTGTGGAATTTGTGTGATCACTTAATCACAATTTTTTTAAATGCTATTAAAAAAAAAAAAAAAAAGCTCAAGCAGAAAAATCTTTGAAACTCTTAGATCCAAAAAGCCAGAAGTGGATCTGTGGCTCAACTAACTGGTAGAGCATTAGCCTTGAGAGAGAAAAAAAGCTCAGCATCAGCGGGTTCAAGCCCCATTTCCCATATGTTGTGTGTGCGTGCGTGTGTACGTGCACGCACTCATATACACACACAAAATGAAGGACGTTAACATAGGAGAAAATCTTTGTGACGATGTGGTACAGTTTTTAGTCATAATACTGAAAGTATTAAGGCCATAAAACAAAAGATTACATTTACAGGCTGGGAAGTTGGCTCAGTGTTAGAGCGCTTGCCTTGCATGCATGAGGCCCTGGGTTCGATTCCTCAGCACCACATAAGTAGAAAAAGCCAGAAGTGGCGCTGTGGCTCAAGTGGTAGAGAGCTAGCCTTGAGCTGAAGAGCTGAGGGACAGCGCCCAGGCCCAGAGTTCAAGCCCCATGACCAGCCAAAAAGAAAGATCACATTTACTTGTCCTAAAATGCTGTTGAAAGAATGAAAAGACCACCCACAAACTAGGAGGACACGTGTAGCAGGCTCCAGTCTCAGACTCTCTGGAGGCGGAGCTGATCTTTGTTCTCAGAGGTACTGGCTACTTGTACTAAGAGCTAGTACTTGATTTAGTTCATTTATTAGAGTGATTTGTGAGAACTGCCTGAGAAATTGGACTTGTTAAGCAAGTTCACCTTGTGGCACACTGCTGTCGGGACTGGCTTTTAGTATGTTCTGGATTCTCTGGCCGACCAACTCTGATAGTGTTTGGAACTTTGCAATAGTAAAGAGAGGTAGCTGTGCATCTCTGTTTGGAAAATCAGCTAGCTACTGTCCATGGTGGCTTGTGGTGGAGACAGGCAACCTTGTGCCATCACGTTGCTGACTCCCGTGTTCCATCCTGATGAGCAGAGGCCTTCCCCACCTGCAGTCTGGACCCCGCACCCAGTGTGGTCACACTCTTGCTCTTCTAGCCACATTTTCCTTTGTTGTGACTGCCAGCATTATAATGGTTATTTATGAACTTAAAAATCTCATGCCCTGTGTATGCTTTTTAAAGGTTGAGGTGGTCTCTGCCTGCACACATGGCCCTCTGTCATCCACCATACCGTCTGATGTGGAACCTGGATTGACCCCTGGTGGGGACACCCCCCCCTGCCCCGGACCTCAACTCCCAGACATGATCAGAAAATGACAGTGCTGAGTTACAGATTTGCCCACAGCCAGCGTTTCCTAGTGGTGTTGCTTCTCTTTTCAGAGGCCACAAGAGGAAGTTGAATGAAGAGGACGCTGCGAGTGAGTCGAGCAACGACGACGAGGAGGGCAGTAGCTCGGAGGCCGACGAGATGGCCGCGGCGCTGGAGGCTGAGCTGAACGACCTCATGTGACCGGGCCTGCGGAGGTGGCCACCTACTGCCCTGTGCCAGCCCCCGGCCCAGGTCCCTTTTCTCCAGAAAGATGTATATTTTGCAGAGCTCCACAAACAGAAACACATTATTTTGCAGAAATGGGTGTTTTTAAGAAGTTTAACTATAGGAGAGTCTACTTTTTTAGGTGACAGAGTTACAGGGGTCGGTGTGCTATGCCAAAGAGCTCAGCAGAGCCTTGCACTGCAAGGTGGGTGTGCAGCTGGTTGTTGGCGCAGTAAGGGGTTTGGGGAGTTCCCTTTAAATGCCACAGCATATTATTTGGGGTGAAGACTCTGGGGGCTCCAACAAGACTTAGAACAATGTAGCAGGAACCTGGCATCTTGTCCTGCTTTTTTTATAACTGGAACTGTCAGAATTTTGAAGGATTTTTAAGTGAAACAGAGCAACGTACATTTGTAAAGAGCATCAAGGGCAGGTCCCTTAGGGGACCTGCAGGTGACCTGAGGCTTCGGCGTGACTCCCGGCAGCCTGGGTTTCCAGCAGCCATGCCGGCCTTCCACCACGGGTGTCCTGATGAGATGGGGCCTCCCTGTTCTTGGGTGGCTTTGTGCTTTAAGAGATCTGATGTAAAGTTTTTGTATATTTCCTATTTGACCCACCGAGCAGATTCTTCTTTCATTTAATAAAGATGCTTTTTGTAAGCTCTCTTCTCCAGCGCGTGGTAGCAGTGGGCAGGCCACCTCTTCAGGTTCGTGCTTGCCTAGAGTTCAGCTCCAGCTGGACATCATCTTGTGTGAGGTGACTGTCGCCGAGCAGATTTCTCGTCAGCACTTGCAGAAGAGAAAACATGCACACGAAAGGGTTGGCTTCTCTGAGCCTGCTAGTCCTCCTGTTACTGGGGGCAGTTTTTCAGAAGATCTTGAGACCACATTAATGGTATACAGAGTCATTGCCATTCCCAGCACCTGAGGAAGCAGTCCTGACTGGTGCTTGTGGCTACAGAGTGCATTTATTGGAGGCTGTGGCCGCCAAACCCAGGGCATGTACCATCCTTGAGGCAGAGTGGGCATGTGGCTCTTCCCAGCTGGTGCACCGGGATCTCGGCAGAGCCTCTCAGCTTCCCCTCCAGGGGCCTGATCTCCCCGAGCTGTGGGTAACGGGGGAGGAAGTCCACAGCGGTCCAGAATGCCCATAGCCATGTCCTGGATCTGTCATACGATGAAAAACACTGGGGTGTCTGCTTGGATGAATGACTCCCGGGCCTGGGGCTTGAACTCGGTCTGGGTGCTGTCACTGAGCTCCTTTTGCCCAAGGCTGACACTCTACCACTTAGCCACAGCGCCACTTACAGCTTTTTCTGTGGTTAATTGGGAGGTAAGAGACTCAGACTTTCCTACCCAGGCTGGCTTCAAACGGCAGTCCTCAGATCTCAGCCTCCTGAGTAGCTAGCAATACACGTATGAGCCACCCATGCCTGGCTGTGAATGACTTTTTAAAGTCATTGGTATGTGTAATTTTTTTTTTCTGTCTCTTGGGTTTAAACTCAAGGCCTCACTGGATAAGCACTCTGTCCCTTGGCCAGGTTTTCTTTTTTTTTTTTTTTGCTTTTAGTTTGTTTTTCAAATAAGGCTCTTGTGCTTTTTACCAGCCCTCTCCCACCCCCGCACCACCCACCCCAGCCAGCTGCCCATGATCTTCCTACCCCTGCCTCCATGTCGTTGGACCGCTGTATGTATCGCCATGCCTGGCTCCTGAAGACAGCATTGTTCAAATGCTTGCTTTCCTGTGGTAGCCGCCCCACTGGTAGCAAAAAGTACTGGGCCGTGGCTATGTATTACCCACGCCTCTAAGCCACCTGTGGCAGTCACAATCCCAGTTTGCTCATCTTCATGTATCAACTCACTTTGTGAGATGTGGATAGAGCTGCATGTATGGCTAGACCCCAGATGCTGTAGGAGCCCAGATTTGTCTTCCTTTGAATCTCCCCTGCAGCACAGCCAGGAGTCTACACACCTGAGTGAGGTGGGCAGGGAGGGGGAGGAGGGTCCCTAATTCCGGGTGTAGGAGCTGGTGTTGGGCAAACAGACGCAAGCATGGCCCAGTGCTGCGCTTGATTCCTTCAATACTCTTCAACAGCAATACGCAAAATCTGTTTTCCCTGGGAAGCAAAGAGTAAAAGGCCTTGGTGCTGGGTCTACGTCTGTCTCAGAAATATACCAGCACAATTGTGAGTGCAACTTTCAAGACTCCATCTGGAACATGCACGTGGCTGTCAGGTACCAGACAGTTGTGTGGGGGTGTTCTCAGCTGCTGTCCAGCTTCCTCCCCAGCCCCCAAGCCGCCTCTTTTCCAGCTTGTGTGGGTGGGGGAACGCTTGATCATGGCCTTTTCCCCCAGAAGCTTGTGGCTGAAGCGTTGGCAGTCATCTCCGCCGGATTCATCTGGTAGGCATGCTGGCATCCACCACTGTAGACCCCCACAGAACCACCTCTGCCCTAAACTCCCTGTGTGCTCCACCGGGTCCACCCCACAGGCCCTGTCCCACCATGGGATCTGTCAGGCGCTCACAGCAGAGTCAGAGTCTGCTGGCCAGGTTCTACTGCAGTGCACCAGTGCCCATCAACGTGACTTCATGTCTCTGAATAGCAGTCAGTCTGCTAGATGGCAGGCCACGGGTAACGATGTGTTCTTCTGAAGGACATCTTGGGCAATTATGAATAAAGATGTGGACATCCCTGTGCAGGATTTTTAAGTGGTTTTTCACTCGCGTGAGTAAGTGCTAACGTGCACGGTGGTTGGATATGAGCTGACAGCCTCCCGTGCGTCTGTGCTGTCTCCTGCCCACACGTGAGCCTCCCTAGTTCTCTACTGGTGGTTCCCTCTCTCACTTACGGAGTTGCTGTATTGCTTATTCACTTGTCGTCACTTTTCCAGCTGTCTTTCATCTCTGTTACTTGATGCTGGGAGTTGCCAACTTTCCCCTGGTTACTGTGGTTCTGTGTCAGGAGGGTGTGGGCCTCTCCTAACCCTGAGGCAGACACAGCCTCCTCACCACCTTCGCTGTAGTTTTCTTTCCAGCCTGACGTCTGCTTTGTTGGTGCATGCCGTGGAAGCCTGGTGTGCAGTTCACACTCTGGGGGAAAGCCAGGTCTGCAGTCCATGCTCCGGTTGTCTCAGGACTGCTCACGGAGGCCTTCACACTGGTGTGAAGTGCTGCTTCATCATCCTCAAACATAACAAACTGGGCCTAAACCCAAGGCCTTGCACGTGCTAGGTAAATGCTTCACCACTGAGCTACACCCCCCGTTCTCCTTCATATGGGGTTATCTATGAGATGCACACATCAAGCTGGTTTAAGAATAAGTTCTTCTGGCCTTTTAAAAAAATTTCACTGTTCTCACATTTCCCTATGGAGTTAAGAATCATCTCATTAAATCTCACCTTTTCCTTTCATTAAAATGTATTCAATGTTTTTGGTGCTGGTACTGTAGCTTCGACTCAGCTTTGAGCACTCAATTTGGCTTGACTGTCCACAGCCAATGCTGTACTGCCTGAGCCACACCCCGTCTGGTATTTTACTAGTTAATTGAAGATGGAATCTAAGACTTCAAACCAAGTTCCTCTATCCACTGATCTCAGCCTCCTGAGAGGTTGCCAGCAGCTGTAGTAGTAGTTAGGCATGAAGCACCAGCACCTGGCCCGTTTTTTTTTTTCCATCAGTTGTGGGGCTTGAACTGGGCCTGGGCGCTATCCCTGAGCCTCTCAGGCCACTCAAGCCTCAGCACCACTTCCCAGGTTTGAGTGGTGAATGGAGATATCCTCTCGACATGTCCAGCTCCTTGGAGGGGCTCCTCTCCTCAGCCTTTGCCCGTGTACCACAGTCCTGCAGGTCCACTCAGGCAGAATTGAACAGACGTCTAGGAAGGGCCCTGGGGCACCAGGAAGCAGCATCTTGCCAGAGCCCCCACGCACATCTTCATCTCCTAATTCTCCATTACCTTTCCACCAAAGGAGTGGATGCCAAACGGGAAGACACCAAGTGGCCTCTGAGCCACCTTCACCCGGACCAGGCCTCGGGGCCCCAGCAGGCCTGGCCTCCCCAGTGGACCGTGCAGCCTCTCCAGAGCGGACTGCCAGGTGTAGAAGTCTGCTCCGCAGCTTCTCCTGTGTCCCAGATGTGCCCCCTGAGAACAGTAAGTACACTGCGGTCTGATCCTTGCACTGATGCTGGCGTGCACTTACGTTTTGGGGACATAAAAATAGGCTCCTAGCCTGTTTGACAGGGCAAGGAGAATGTGTGGGTGTCGTAGCGTAATGATGAAATGCTGCTTTAAAGGTGCAGCACTCACGGGCTTCTGCAGAGAGAGATGTCAGTGGTGGCCCCCACAGGCCCATCCCTGTGCGTGAGCTGCTAAGAGTACCTCCTGATTGCTGTTGCCCCGGCCCTTTCAAGTCTCATAAGGGTCGAACCTTAGATGCTGGGAGAAGTGTGGCCTGTGCTCCCCAATACTGGAGCCTCCTGCCTTCACTCACAGTACGTTCTACCAGGGCCACCGTGTCCCTGTCCCACACTTCATTCCCTGGGAGGTGCCAGAGGACAGAGATGGCATGTGTGTTGCTTTAAGGCGCTTATAGGAGACCCTGTGTTTAAACCCTCTCTCCTTGATTTAAAAGAATCTCACCTGTGAGCAAGGACCTGGACCAATACAGTGGCGTCCCACTGCTTAGGCTCAGGCAGGGACCACGTGGAGAGTGGATGTTTATGACATCATTTGTGGGCCATACGGACTTACCCATACAAGCAGAAGGCCACAGGGGCTGACGGGAGCGTGTGCGTCTGTCCTGGCGTGCGCCTCCCCCCCGCAGCTGTAGCAGATGCTTTTCTGCATGACAGTGCCCCTCTCCTCTTGGGTGGGCTCTGCTCTGGGCTTTCCTTGGACAGTTCCTCCCAGGCCACCAGTCCGGTGACCATCGGACTGTCCCTGCGGCTGTGCTGCGTGGCCCAGGGGGGCAGGGGCCTGCTGCTGCTGGCACCATCGTCGGGTCTCTTTCCCAGTGAGTGGATTCACCTGTCTCTGAAGGACAGCGGCGGCTCCTGAGTGCAAAGCCCAACGGGCCTCGAGGGTGTGGTGTGGGGCTGGGCCCAGCTACCGCCTCTGACCCTGCGATCTCCTGCCATCTGCACATCCTGAGGGCCAGGGGGCTGGGATCCCGCCTCCCAGCATGCCCTGGGGGCTGGGATCCCGCCTCCCAGCATGCCCTGGGGG